TATATATATATATATATATATATATATATATATATATATATATATATAGTAACAGAAGGATGAATTCCTTTCAAGTCGATCTTTCGAAACACATTGCTATATTACTTCTTAAGTGTCAAGAAGTAATATAGCCTAGAAACCGCATGGAATGTTTCCTGAATGGGGGAACGCGACGGAAATTCACGTGTTTACCGTTCAGTCCGTAGGGTGTGATGGGGTGGTAGGTTCGGGTGCGACGATGGACGCCTGCGGTGTGTGCGGTGGCCAAGGCAAAAGCTGCAGATTGTTCGAAGGCATCTTCATGGAACCGATTCTACCCAAGGGTCATCAGCAGGTGACCACGATTCCGAAGGGCGCTATGTCGCTCAACATTTCCGAATTGCGATTCAGCAGTAATTTTCTAGGTAGCATCGGACGATTTCACTGACAATAATTCACTGTCGCATGATAAATTAATATACTTGTCGTTCAATAGTCTCACCGAGATTGCAACGTAATTAACGTTCGTTCGATTGAAAAAAATTACTCGTGGAAGCGCGCGAATAATTTGGCGGAAGCTAGTAACCGAGTAGCGTGTTTTTTTTTGCTCGCGATATTACGTAACAGAGTGGTAGTATGCTGGTTAACAGACGATCGATCTACTCGCAGCGTTGAGAGACAGTAACGGCAGTTACATCCTAAACGGACCGTGGTCTTACAGTCCCAGTGGTACTTATAAAGCGGCTGGTACGACATTAACATACCAGAGGGGCGATAGGAACCGCATGGAGTGCATCTTGGCAACAGGGCCGTTGAACGAGTCTTTGCATTTAGAGGTATTACCCGCGTTATCGTCATCCGCTCGCTTTCTATTAGTCGTATCAGGGTTAGATATTTTGCTTTTTTACTTGTTTTTCAATTCTGGTTCTTAGCCGCGAGACTGATGACATCAGAAAAGGAAAGGTATGCTCAAAAATTCTTGCGCGCGTGCGAATAAAAAGATTTCTATAAAAGTAAAGTGCTCTGAGAACTATTCCTTAACAGTTTATAAATAGCTGCAAAATTAATGCAATCTTCCTCCTTAACCTACCTTTCCTCATAATTTCGTCACATTGATTTTACGGCTATTTATTAACTGCCAAGAAAAAAAATAGTTTCCCAAATATTTTCAAATGCAAGAATTTTTAGCGTGTCATTTCTCACCTCTGACGTCACGATTCAACATGGCGAGTATCCAGAAGCCCTAATTCTCTCTTTTCGTCTGATTTTTCACATTTTTATTAAAATTTTAACGTTGTTAATATATTGCTCATATTGCTGTTCGTGCATTATCGTAGATCTTGTCGTTGGACTTAAATCCAGGCGTTCTCTACAAGTACATGTTGCCCATGAGAGAAGTGCCGGACAGCAAAGCGATTATCGCACCGCCGCTACTTGTTGCGGGTAATTGTTTTATCGCCGTATTTCAATTACATACGATTAAACATCGCTGTTTACAGTCCATAAAGTCGTAACGCCTCATTCTTCTTTGTAGGATCAAACGATCGGGGCAATGAAATACCTAGTCCAGATACTCACGTGACCGTACGAGTACCCATCACGAGAATGTAAATATGCATGCGCTGCCTTGATAGAAATTTAATGCAGTTTTCGAGCAATTACTGGACGTTAATTTTTATCTAATGACTGAACAGTATTTAGGATCCCAATAAAAGATAACGCTTTTCCTGCAGTTGCTGAAAAATGTGTGAAATCATTAAAAAATTATTAAACGAAAGCAGATAAAAATAGACTATTCAATTGATTAAGAATCAAGTGCATCTGCTGCTCATAAAATGAGCAAGTTTACTCCAATAATATATACTTCATTTGTTCTTTGCTCACTTCAATATGTATTAACACTAGACTATAATTATTCGGATGCTGCGCATACGTTTCTACCAGGATCTCTCTATAACGATCTAATTATTTCAAATATTTCTTTATGCTCTTATTTTTATCTGCGAATCATCGTGTTATACATCTCGAAGGGAACTTTTCACGCGGCTCGATTCGGATTCCGCCGATGGACTTCCTCCTTGTGCAGGAATCTATGCGGCGTGTCCGAGTCGAGCCCCGCGATTTGTCTTCGTTCATACGGCTCTGCCTTCTAGATCGGATCGGCGGAGCGATTTATCTTCGACGCATCGTGATCGCGATCCTGCGCGTACGCAGGATGTCGGACGGAAGGAAGAGATGAAGCATCCGCCGACCACGGTGATGGCGGGCGATCAGCCAAAGTCAAAGGCGAGAAAGAAGAAGAGGAGGAAGTTCTCCTGGAAAATAGTTGACTTCGCTCCCTGCTCGAAGGAATGCGGGGGAGGTAAGTCGATAATTAATCTCGCGTCATAACATCATGCGACACTCGTGCTGCGGTATTGCGTGCCGTAAGCGGGAAAACCTCACCGATGATATCGTGTTATTTCGTAAAAAGTGCCCAATTAATTTATTCCATTTGTTGAATTAACGAAACCCTTTAATGTGCAAAATCACAAGAGAAATATAATAATCAAAGTCGTTTGTACGACAATAAACCAGTAAACATCGAGCAGCAATAACATTATGTCAATGTTATAATTTCCCTCTCTGCAATGTAGCTGTTATATATAACATGTGTTATATATTACATTTACATTGGGAAATTATAACATTAATATAATGTTATCGTTACTAGATGTTTACCCGATATTTTGGGACAATATTTTCGTAGGTCTAAGAAGTGATCCTTTCACATGTGAAAGTTTCATTATCGTATAATTTGCTTTTGTTTAGAGCCAAAACGTCTTCAAAATCGATGAAAGTGAACTGAGAAATGAAAAATTTTTGACATTTATTTTGGAATTTTATAATATTTGATACACGACGTTTAGATTTAAGGTCAATTCATACGCACACATATACACGATCCTAAACGATGCTAATATAAAAAGGTCACGTCATTTCAAGTTGTCATTTGGAGTCCGCTGCGAGGAGTCGATTAAACGAACAATTAAGCAAAAAGCGTCTGGATAATTAGAGATCATTACAGAAACGACTTCGTCTAGACCGAGTTGTTGCGTGGGAAGTGACCTCGTCCGTTTCGGTACAATTATATCGAATGTTTTAGTGTGACCGTCGAAAGTCCGATCGAGATAGTTTTAATCTTCTCATATATTGCGACTTCATCCGAAAAGATACTCTTCAAATTTCTTGAAAGCAGTATATATCTTTCTATATGCGTGGAATAAATTAGATTCACTCTTTAATTTCGAGTGACAATATTTACTTGACGATTTACGGTGAACTCTGTATAAGTCACTCATATTACTCATTTTATTTTTCGAGTAATTATTTATACAGTAATTTAGGAGTCTTTTATGTTTTTTTTTTATTTTGTCAAGTTAAGGATAAGCGGAATTAAATAAGACAAAGAAAGTTAGATGAAGCACGAATGATCGCGGACGCAGACGTCCGCAAAGATGGGCACTCCCGCTTTTGAGATACCAAGCGGAAACCGTTATTGATGTTCGCTTCGTGCGCCTTCATTCACTTTCTCGGCAGCTAAATGTTGCACGCATCCGATGTCCGAAGCTGTGACTTCCTAATTTAGATTGACGCGATACGGGTGTAGAGTGACGGATATACGGGAAAAAAACGAAACGGTCACGTCGATCATAGTTAAAGATAGCTAAAACACTGGATCATATTTGCGAAACACATTTAGATGTTGCAGTTTTTTGCAGATAAGAAGAATTTATCCTTATTCGAAAATAAAAGAAACAAAGCGCGAAATATATCGTTTATGTGATTGTATCTTACTTGCAGGCGTAAGGATGGCGATCCTAAAATGCATTCGCGAGAGCAATCAAACAGTCGTCAATGATAAACGCTGCCGGAACTTGGAAAGACCAAAGCATCCTCCCCCGCTACGATGCAACGATCATCCTTGCGCCGCCAGGTATTTATATCGATGGGAAAAACCGAGTAAAGTTGGACCATTTAAAAAAATCCCAAAGTTACAATCTTTCAAATAATTAATTGTTGTTATTGCCTATATACGTACATGATAAAGACAACCTTTCTCTATATTTCTATGTCATCAATGTTCCTAAATCGTATATTCTATGATAATCTGTCTTGTGATAATCTGTATTGAACATGCTGTAACGTGACTATTTTATCCTGATGCAAGTTGTTTAACTCCGATAGGAAAATTGTTCAAACATTAATAGTATTATGAAATAATAACAATAATAGCATCATGAAATGAAGTATGCAATGCTTGCGTATCGTTGCACAAATATTACAACATTTAACAACAATATTACTGAGTATTTTTCGCAATGAGTGAAAACCCAATAATCACGAAATGCATTGCATTTATATAGTTCGTGATGGGCAAGTTCGATTCCGCATTCAAAGAACCGGAAATGTCGTTAGGTGGCGAGCTGAACCGTGGAGCGAATGCTCAGTCACCTGCGGGATCGGTATTAGGACACGAAAGCTGGAATGTGTCCAAGAGAAGGCGAAGTTAATGCGCGTGGCTGCCAGCACGTGTGTCCAACCACCGGATTTGAGGACTACGGAAGCTTGCAGCTTACCGGCATGTCCTAACACGGGTCCAGAATTGAGGCATATGCATTCGCAGCACGACGCACCCAGGTGGAACGTGGGCGCTTGGGGCCCTGTGAGTCATTCGTTCGTTAAATGCCTTCATTGTCAAATGGCTATTTTTAGTGCTTTAAGATAGAGCATTATCAACGATCAAAAATAAGCATAACTTTAATTTGCTATATATGAGAAATTTCTCTGCTTAAAAAATCTGATAAAGATTGATAGAAACATATTTCATCGAAATACTATATGACTTTATCTGAACTTGTCATTTTTATCGAAAATTTCAATTTCTCACATATCATGTGAAATAGTTATTAATTTCTTCTGTTTAATATCGTGTAACTTGCTTTTTAATGATTAAATACTTACTGAATGTCTTTCTATGCAATTTCCTTGTTTCTTTTTATCCAAAACACAATTTTCAATATTCCATAGATTTCTTTGTGTGATTCTATCCAATCTTTTAAGCAGAGTTGAATTTTCACTATTATTCGTGAGAAATGAAATGAGATTAAAGGGACGTTTTGTTTTGTTGTCAAAATAAATTCTATTCCGGTGATTCACTTCCGGAAACTCGTTGCCTCTCGTATTTCTCACGTAATTATGCTTTTCAGTGCTCGACCACATGCGGTCGTGGAATTCGAAATCGAACGGTCACTTGCATAACGTCCGGAGAATCTTGCTCATTGGTCAACAAACCCGAATCCCAAAAGCCATGCGAAATAGCAGCTTGTAACATAGTGATGGACGTAGGACATCACGCACCCTGGTTATATACAGAATGGTCTTCTAAGGTATAATACACACGCTGAGTATATGTCGAATATTACGTCGTGTAATACAGTAGACATCGTAGCGTAAACAAGTATATATTTTACGTATTTGTTTGGAATATACGACAGATCATTCATTACTGTCGTAGTGCTCTGCGGAATGTGGAAATGGTGTAAAGATCAGACAAGTAGCCTGCGCCGACGGTAGTGAATTATTTTGCAATCCCAAAGAGAGGCCAAACATGGAGATGCAATGTTTTGGACGTGGAACAAACTGCAACAGAGCCAAGTGGTTCACCGGCTCGTGGACTTCCGTTAGTACAATTCTGTTTGAAAGATTTGATAGAATTACATAAGAGAAGTCGCTGAATCGTGTTTCCGATAACAAATAATAAAATTATATAGAAGGGCATAAACATTTCTGTCTTTAAGACATTCTTTAGTTATTTTGTTGTCCGGGGCGTAATTGATTGACAGACAGCACAAAACGTCCTAAAGTCATCTTGAATATGTCCAGGATATCCCAGGGAATGTTTTAGGATGTACAGGATAACCTCAGGACGTTCTGTGCGCATAGATATAATTATGTGACATTGCAGTTTATGTAACGTTAATTCTTCGTGTTTTAGTGTTCAGTCTCGTGCGGTGTTGGCGTGCAACATCGAGATACCGTTTGTATATCTAGGACGAATGGCGAATTCGTCGTGTTACCCGCAAAAAATTGCAGTGATCCCAAGCCAACGAATGAGCAAGTCTGCAGAATGTCCTTGTGCTCGCCGGAATGGTTCACCTCGGATTGGTCAACGGTAAGATATGTCGCGTTTAAAGAATTTTCTTCCAAAAATAATATTATTACGTTTCACTTTTAGTGTTCTACGACATGTGACTTCGGAATTCAAACACGTCTTGTACGATGCATAATTGATGGAGTCAGTAGTGCCAATTGTTCGGAAATCGGCAAACCAATTGCGGAGCAACGATGTAACATGGAGCCGTGTAAGAAGCAGTTAGCAGTGAACAAACCACCGAAAAGTAAGAAAGCTTCTCGACATGTTACTCAAATCCTTAATTCCGATTTTTTTCAAATTAACTTGAATTAACCGCCAAAGAATAAACATCGTGAAAATGCAATTCACATGCACAGAAAATATTAGGTTACATTTATGTGAAGTTTGGTTATAACAAACGAACACGCGTTTTCTTTAAAAAAAAGAATAGAATTTTTGCTTCCTAAAATTCTAAATTTTAGTCATAGAAGCCCGATAGAAATTCTGTGTTTTTCGACCTAAGCGATTTACTCATTAACGGTTTACCCACACTTCACGTTAGTACAATCGAATTTCTTTTCCAATAATAAAATGTTTGTTTACTGGTAGATTTGGCAAATATACTTTAACGTTTCAGAAGTGCACGAGTCATCCGAGTGCGTGGACAAATCTCCAAATTGTGCTGTAGTAATAAAAAATGGTCTGTGCCGAGTGAAATATTACAATAACATGTGTTGCCAATGCCGTCAATAGCTGAGACAGCAATTTTCATACGTTCGCAACTCAGTAACCGCGAATGTGGAGCTGGTGAACTATCGTTAAGTGAAAATATAAATGTTAATCGGAACAGGCAAACAATGCCGAGCGTAAGACTGCTACAAAGAGACCACAACCACGTATGTATAATATTATTTATATCACGCGACGAGAAACGGATCATTCGTCTCTTACGTAGTCATGCTTTATTTTGCCAATCGGAATCCCGCGCAAGAATTTGCGAAGAATGAATATCGATACGGATGTTCAGAAACGAGACGTTCATCTCTTCGTTTTAAGTGTTCATTGTCGATCGTATTGTTAGGCTCTTGTATGTATAGTCCGTATTTCACACACACGTGCGTTCACCTGTGAATGCACTGGTCGTTTACATTGCGTCGCGCGCGCGTGCGAGTCGATATCTGCGTTATCGCGCGGACAAATACAGGGCCGTAATTTTATCGGATCGGAACGCGTGTCCGCACAAACACGCCGCTACTGCCCCTGACCGTTTTATAAGCAGCATTGCGATCTTAACTTTTGTATGTTTGCTTTACATGAAACAGCGCTTTTGTTACGTTCAAACCTTGAACCTCAAGGTAAAAGAGTACATAACGACGTCGTTGTTTTTAAGAGATTATATAGTGCCAACTAAAACTATCACACTGATATTAATTTGCTCGATGCGAAGATAGCGATTAGTCTCGCCACACGAGGCGCAAGTGAGACAGTTCGAAATATATGGTCGGGAATCTTCTCTTTTTGGAGAAGAGACGGAATCTATTATATTGAAAAGAAAGTAGATCGACCTTAATTCAAATATGGCAAATATTTAATGGCACGCGTAACTTCATCTTAGCAATAGCATTAGAATAAAAAACATGATAGTATATGCTAAAACGTCTATGCGTTTTCTTTTGATCGATTTTACTTCATCGGGAGCACGAAGAAAAGTGCATACGATACTTTTGATGCGTTTTTAAAGTTTCTGTTTTCTCGCCATCTTAATTTGTAATATTCGAAGCGCGAAGAAATATACGCTCAAAATTTCTGTAAAATATATTCAAATAAAATGACATATTTAAAAACTGGCACTTGCAATTAATCAAACAAATTTGTAAAATAAGCACTTGCCTTTTGTTCTAACAATCAATAAACAGCCGTAAAATTAATGTGACTATAAAACGATAGGTTAAAATGAAGAAAAGAGGATCACACATTACATTAATTTTACAGTTGTTTGTTTAAACAAAAGAAAAAAAGTTGAAACTGTTTTACAAATCGATTGACTGCAATTTTATGCGTCTTTTTATTTCAAAAAGTTTTACAAGAATTTTTAACGAGTGTTTTCTCGCTTGTGATGTGTCATCAATCAAGAATTCGGCGGTGAGGAACCAGAAGCTTTAATATGAAATTTACGCGAGTCTCACGACCCACATAATCGCAAGGGTGGAAATTGTACATAGAGGTAATCGAGTCTGGGTACATACAAGGCGCAATTACGTCCCTGCGTAACGAGCCTTTCTTCGCATGCACGTTCGCGCAAAACCTGTACGCCCATGAAAACCTCGGAGGCTGCACCCGCCTCTGCTCGACCGCGTAAAATGAAACGAGTTCTTAGCGCGAGCTGAGCTCCAGAATTGACGTGAAACGATGTAAAACGTGCCGCTCGAGCGCACAGACTTACGTTATGCAGGCTGAGAAATATGCCGTTGAAAACGGGCATTTCCGGAAGAAAAATATTTTCTCACGGAAGGCATAGTAGCGATTGTCTCAAGAATTCATTCGATAGCAATTGAACGAGGAGGCTACCGTTTGACAGACGGTCACAATCAACACAGAAATGTTATTGCTGTAAATAAATTTACAAGTTGTACAACTCGTTGTACATATAAAATCATATAAATGATGAAGTAACATAACAAAGTGCTAGCGTTACGATGAAATGGCTAATGGATTTCTAATGAACCGTGAATACTTTCTGTACCTTCTTTCGAAATTTGAATACCTACAGCTCGTGATGCAAAACGTCAAGGTTTCTGGGTAGTCGCCATTTGGATTGTGACGTCGAGGTAAGAAATGACAAAATTCTTTCGTGCTATTTTCAAATAAAAAGATATTTTGAGCGAAAAGAATAATTCGCTCGAACAAACTTGTAAAATACTCCGAAAACTATTCTTTTCTCTTAAAAATCAACAAACAACCGTAAAAGTTACTTAACAAAACTATGAGAAAAGATAAAGGAAAAAGTTGCATATCACATTAATTACTTTAGTTCTTATTACTAGTTATTATAAATGAAAATGGCATGCAAGAATTTCGAGCATGCGTTTTCTCGCTTCTGATGTCATTAATTAAGATTTCCGCGACGAGGAACCAAAAGCTTTAATTGCACAATATCGACTAGTAAAAACGATGAAACAAAATGAATAATACGACGAATAAGTCTAACCTAATCCCAAGTCGAGAAGCGAAATTAGTCAAAATATGCGAATAATTTCGCTGTTCTCAGGTAATTTTTCCTGCTTAAAAAATTTGATAAGAATTGATAGAAAACATAATTTCGTTAAAATTTAAAATCACTATGTGACTTTTTTATATCGTAACTTATTTTTAATGATTAAATATTTATCTGAATATATTTTTCTTCTGATCTAATTCTATCAAATTTTTTAAGCAGACTTCTATACGTTAAGGACACGAAAAAAAATTTCTTTAATAAAAGATCGTACCTACAGCTTAGTATTTCTCAAAAGTGTCACGAATATTAAGACACGAGCGAATTTCGGTCTGTTACGTGCAGAATCAGCGTATTCTTTAAGCACAATAATCTATACGTATCGAGAATATACGCTTGTAAAATCTTTAAGGTCGACGTTTAGATGATAAACACACACACACACACACATTATTGTATATTTTGATGAAAGTTAGAACGGTCTCTTTGACCAATATCGCCATTACGCATTACTTCTGCATTGAGTTATTATTTAATTGTGCCATTAAAGTCACGCAGAATTAATCAATCAACCGTGTCAATTAAATCTTCTGGCCTTGCCAGTTAAGAAATTATACTTTATATCGAATTGTATTCTCTTGATACACTCTGCGTCTTATTTTATCTTTTACAGCAATTACAAGTTATTTTCATTAAACTCTCCTTCGTTTCCTGTCATTTTCAATTCTTAATCGTTTATTTAGTTCTAGTTTCATTCTTTCAGGTAAGTGCAATTTATAATTTATATTTCTGCTTTTTGTGATGGCTTTATATTTTTCTTCTCTCTTTACAGAAACGAAATGAGAATGCTTTAGAAAAATATTATAATGTTATTACCTTTTTGACCTCTCAGTTGCTTCAGCTACAATAAATAACTTTATAATTGTGAAAACTCTGATGTAAATTTAGAGATATTGTCTCCTTCGAAGAGGTTTATTTTTGAGACTGCGCACACACTATATCCTAATTCTAGCATTAAGAAATACGAAAGTGCACGTAATAATCACTATCGTGATCCTTTATCGAGACAAAACGTCCATTAGTACATATAATTCTATGCTCTGTGTCGTTGCAAACGTGTATCAATCGCGTAGCTTCGACTATCGCGAGTGTGATCTCGTCAAAGACTGTGATAAAATCGTAGAGTCAGCAAGAATAAAGTACAACAAAGGATAACGAATAATTAATAATTAGTACAATGGGCTGCAGAAACTAAGGTTCTCGCTTTGTACAATTGCTTTTGTGTCGTTTGTAGCGTAAATGAAGTTACTCGTTGAAAATAATCGTATCGACAATCACATCACAATCGCTGTATAAGTCACAACGAACTTTGCATATATTAAAAAAAAAAAAGAAACAGCTGTCATGAACTCTGAAACGAATCTATCTATCAGTAATATATGTATTTCTATTTACGATGCATTCGCGAAGCGAAACTTGAACGAAAAGCGAGAGAATCAGACTGAAGAGCACGTATTACTTGTACATTACGGATGTAACTACCTGTTTGACGTTAGACACTCTTAAACGTTAAATGTTAATAAAGTGATATTCAACAAGCACCTGTTCTTGCTCAAACAAATACGGCAAATTAATCGGATATTAGCAGATATTTGACTGGCTATCAAATATCATCCGTCTTCATCGTGTTATTAACGATTTGAACGCTATGGAGACATAGTGAATTTTATTTAGTTATCAAATAATATTGAACTTTTCGTACTGTCAGCACGCTCATTGACAACGCAGTCAAATTATTGTCGCGTAAATTGATCGAATCGATGACAGACACGTTTGCGAAACAAAGCAAGTTATTTTCGGATTACGTAACGCCTAATGCGGAATGTATTTAAGAGTATCTGTGTCACATAAAATTAGACAGTTTGGCACGCGAGAAGTGGACAAGGAAGAAAGGAAAGGGAGACAAAAGGTCTCCTGATCTATGAATGGACATGTGTGTCCTACTATTTCAAAATTAGCTTTTATTCATCGTATCAATTCTAGTGTTACAGTAATATAATGTACAAAAAAATTTCTTGTTACGTGTATATAAAAACAATTTACAAAAAACGATATATAAATATTATCGATACTTTGTTCGATCGTTAGCTCATGTCTTTTTTCAGCTCAGCAATATTTATCACTTAGTATTTAAGTAGTCCATCGTACCAATAATCTTGATTAGCAAGTTTCAATAACCCCCTTTTCGTTTATATATTCCGCGCGTGTTATAAGTCTGGAGGGAAAATTAATTGCTCAATTCCCGTGGGCCACGTAACCGTTATTATGATACAGGATGTTTAAAAAGTTTCAGAATTCTCTAATATTTCAGAAAAAAACATTTCACAAAAAGATGTTTTAGACAAAAGTTTTAAAGTTTAGAATTTCAAAGAGGACGAATGATGGTGCTATTGACTTGACTTTGTGGCGGACGTGCCAAAATTTTTTCAATTTGAATTTTTTGAATGAAATCATATATAATTCTTTTCTTAATATAAATTGATTCCTAGAGATTTTTCATTTTGCGTATAAAAGTAATAAGACAAATCATCAAAAAGGGAATACTTTTCGAGATATCTCATATCTTATACTGGGAAATATCAAGACAAAATATCTCGCAAAGTATATACTTCTCAATGATTTTATTCCAGTATTTTTGTACGCATGATTTTTTGTAAAATATTTTTGTTCCGAAATATCAGATCGTTCCGGAACTTTCCAAACATCCTGTATAAATAAAGGTAGTTTAATACAATTATTAAGTATAAATACGTAATACACGTGAAAGCTGCTGGCAGTGTTACGGAAGAGTATTGCAACTTCAAGTTTGAAGCATTGCATGAGATCCCGATGTACTCTGTACAGTTTGTCACGAGAAACGAGAAAAGTTGTTAGGCACCGCAGGGGACTTTGAAAACGCTTTGAGTTTTCAAGTTTAAACTCAGTTTGATCTCATTTGTCAAACATGTTTCTCGTAAAGCTAAGGCTTTTATTAAAGTCTTATTACATAGAATTGCGAGGCTTTGCAGTTTTTAACAAAGTTCGATAGCGCATATTCTCTCGTTTCATTACGTTGAGCTTCGAAATACTTAAGATCAAACGTATCTTAAGTACATTAATAAAGACTCGTTAAATAACGCGTCGCATCGCAAGATGAGGCAAGGCGAAAATTCAAACTAGCGAGGTATCAGTGATAGATAGTTGTAATATTATATTTCGCCAGTAGTTAATCATTGACGCTCGTTATTTAGATTGACGCCTTTCCCTGTCCATCTCTCCTTTAGGTCTACCTTGAGGCCAAGATCTCTCAACGCAGCTTTCGCGTCATTTTCCAATTTAGGTCCGTGCAGACGTAATGTACTCTGCAGCACTTCTTCGATGCCGTAAGCCACAAATTCCGTTGACTCGGACTTATTCCGCACCGACATGTTTCTGATCGCCCAACAGGCTTGTCTCAAGACGTTCACATTCTTCGAATAAGCCTTCATAGCGTCTATAACCACCTGAGGTGCACCACAATCGTAGAATACGCCAGCGTTAGAAGTGCTTCGCAAGGATAACGCGGATATGCAACCCAATCCTGCAGTCACGACGTACTCCGACGCCTGTTGGATATTAATTAAGGCATGTCGTTAAATATTTATTTGTTTAGTATCGTAGTTATTTGTACGATAAAGAAAGCCGATTTAATCGCAAAAGAGATTATCTCGTTTACGAACTTACTTTCATTCTGCTAATGGCAGATACGATTAGAGGCGCGCATCCAGACGTCACGATATGAGATTTCACGTTGTCGTTGCCAGCAAGCGCTTTGAGCAACTTCAAAGCTTGCCAATTTAATTTCTCTGAGTCCGGATAATCGATCATTATGTCCTGAACGAATTTCAATCCGCCAGCGTCCTCAACTTCTTGACAGAATTCATTTCTAACGATTAATGCGGCCAACGTGATCATCAGGTCGCCCACTACAGTTTTGTCTTTTTTAAATCCTACATATGCAAAAAATAAGTATTGATGTAATCTTCCTGGTTATTAAATGTTTTTATATTATGCTGATTTTTATAGTCTTAAACGGTATTACAATTGTTAAATAATAACCATCTGAAAATATTTTAGACGGTTATAATTATTTAACATAATTCATACACTTGGAATTCTCTGGACGGAATTTTAATTTTATAATTTTTTTATTTATATAAAATAATGACAAATAGTATGGTCAAAACCCTATACTGATTTCATTTCTTTAAAAAAAATTTGCTGAAACTCCCTATTTTTTCAACTATCTTCGCTTATAAGTATGATTTACTTGATAGCAATCCTGTGAGAATATCAAGAGCGCCCTTCGCGATGACAGTCGCATGTTCGTGAGCCTTTCCATATTCGTGTCTGATGTCGTCATCCAAGACTAAGGCTCTGATGACAGAGCACGCGTCTTTGATCTCGGCCACGTTTGCATCTTCGCGTACTAATATTTTCTTGAGTTTCTCAAAGATGTTGGCATTGAAGATTTTTTGTCTGTTCAGTTCGTGTTTTATGCAGCATTCGCGTACCCAACGCAATAAACACTGCAATGTCGCAATGTCGTGATACTTGTCTAAGATCCTGACAAGTAAAACTTTGTGAGATATATCCCAAGATAGAAGAAATCATAATCATAAGTTGACTCTATTCGTCTTTTTCCTTAGGAAAAACTAACAAAACCGTTGAGTTATGACGAATTATCTTAGCGCAATTATTGCAAAATTATATTAGGTCTGTGCATAAGTTCCTAGGATTTTCTAGATGACTGTTTATGTTTAAAGAAACAGGCATGTTTAATCAAAATATTTTCTTTCGCTTGCTATTTTTCAGACAACAAATGGATTTCTTGATTGAAGAATGATAGATCTCTCGATGCGATAATTCGACCCATTTTGACCTACTTTTAAACTTTAATCTTATTTTTAAATTGCATACCGGAAAAATAGTTCTGCATTGACCGAAATAAATAAAAATCGGAAGAAGTAAGGTCTGTATGCTGGGTGAGGTAGAACTTTCTACTCCAATAAGGTATCCTTAGTCGCGAAAGTAACATTTTTTATTCTCCACAACTTTTTCCTACTTGGTCCTATATTTTTTCCTATTTCGGAAAAACACTCTTCGAGAGATCTATGATTGTTTCAAGCACGCATTTGCTTCTTCCGAAAGCCGCGATAGGAATACTCTTACTCTATCTGTAGCGCAACACCGTCGTCATCCAGTAAGTCCGGGTTGCCGGTCATTAACGATGTGATCGTCTTTAGCGTGGATTTGACTATCGCGTGGTTCTTTCGGCAATCTTTCAAGAGATCGATTAGGATTTTGTAGCACTTCTGCTTGCCCGCGAATACTTTGTGTCCGATGTCCTTGTCCAATTCGGCGCGCAATTCTTGCAATGTGTCGGGCACAAGCTCGTAACTCTTGTCTCTCACAGCAAACCTCAGTCGTTCCAAACACGTTATTATCGGCTCATATTTGTCTGAGAGGGCTAAATCTTTGACGATGTTGTTCAAGTCTATTCCCTGCGCGAAATAAACGCCGTCCGTTAATTATAGCATAATGACGATTGCGTAACATCAGTCGAGATGTGTTGCATTTCGTATTAGCGCGTTATTTTTCTTTTTCTTTTTACAGTAATCCTCGAAAGTTGCCTTAGAATAAATTCGATAAAACTATCGTGAATTTTTTTTGCTACGAATTGCTACACTGAAAGAAAAGAAATCTGAAAAAATTTTTATTTGGTAATAACATTTATTTAAATCTATATTCTGCTATTTTTGTTTCATGAAAAATAACGTTTCTCAAAGTATAAATAAATAAATAAATAAATAACACACACACACACACACACACACACATATATAAACTCATTTGAAATTTTTAATTTAATATAAAAAATACATATACTAGTACAAATGTATCGTTAGTACTAAATATTTCTCATATTTAAAATTTTTTTTCTTTCAGTGTATAAAAAATAAACCGATGCGCTAAAGTAGATAATGATTGCGCGTATTTCGAGAGAAATTTTATTTTTATACAACATAAATATTTTAGATTGCGAGAAAAGTTTCGAATTTTTGCTATATATATTTTTTTGTGTATTTTTTTTATACAACCACGAACTTCATTATTGTTATTTCGTGTCCTAATTTTTTTTCTTTTTTTCCAACAATAAAGAAAATCCTCGGCGATGCGTTGTCGGATGAATCACGTAGTGACGCGTGCAAGAAAGCAGAAGTAGAAAAGACATTTTCATTGATCAACGCCAAACGCATCCCGCGCACAGGTTGGTGTCCTGTTGCGGCGTCCAGATTGAATAACCTTCGAATCTAGCGGAAGAGAAACTAAGCTATCCCGAAAAAATCCGAAAAGATGTAAATGAAGAATCAATTTCTGAACTTACGGAAAGACTGTCGAGGTTATCAATTGCATATCAACATGTTAAATGACAAAAAGCTTGAATAACCATTAGTTATTTGAACAAAGAAAAAAATGTCAAATGCATACGTTGGCTTATGTTTCTCAAAATTTGGCTCCTGCGAGTCTAACGCTAGGAATGTGTACGACACAAATTGCACCGATAAACAAGTTGTGCAATCGAGCATATAAAGAGGTAAAATGACTTTCATCTTTCGTAAATCAACGGGCCAGACAAACAAAAAGTAAACAAAAAATTCGGTGTTTTAGTCAATACCTGAGTTTCGAAGTGCCTGACGGCGTCGTCGATAGCTTCTTCAGCAGTCATGAGGAAATCCTGCATGAATTCTCTGACGACTTCGTCGTAAGCCTCCTGGGTAATCGTGTTGCTCATGATAACAGCGGCTACCTCCTCTTCTCTTCGGTGTCCCGATTCACTATATAAGGAGATGAACACTGCGAGCCGCGAGCGAGAGGAATGTACGCTGGCTTGTCCATATGACAATAAAAAGAGCAGACCTGTCAACGCGGTCGCGTTCAGAAATGCATCACGGAATCCCTATCGCCATAGATGAGATAAACTTGAAGTAACGTTTCCCTTTCTCAACATTTGTTTCGTTTCATTTTTTAATAGCATTTTTTTAGTAGTTTGATTCCAGTATTGTGTCGAGAGGATTTTTCAATAATGCCTACAAACAGAGGCGTTTTTTCGTTTCGTGACAACGGTAGCGTTTGGTTAGTTAATTTGGCCCACTTAACGCTCGCAACGCTTCGAGCAACAAAGATAGAAAGACGTTCGCAGCGTTGCGAGTGTTAAGTGGACCAAACTAACCAACCAAACGCTACCGTGGTTACGAAACGAAAAAATGCCTCAAGTGCACGATGTGAATCAAGCAACTGGGTGCTTTTTAGTTGCGTACACTGTGTTATATAAAACCAGCTTATTGGTTGCATATTATCTTACAAGATATTTTAGATAATATGTGACCAAATACTTTTGTGTACGTGTGTGTCAAGATGTGTTAAGCAACTGGAAAGCACCCACTATTCACATTACTAGGGCTTCTAAAACTCTACTCGACGGGTAGAGTAGCATTTAATTGACCAATAAAAACAAAGATAACTAGAATTTCTTCATCATGATTGGTCAATTAAATGTACTCTATTCACCGAGTAGAATTTTGGAACGCAGCCTAGCGTGTTCGACTGCCCCTGAGTTAACCCAGAGTGGGTTAACCCAGAGCCAGTCGAACATGCTATACGTTAAAATTTTGCCTCACTTTTCTACAGGCCGACTATAGGGAGTTAGCAGTCTAGTAGTATATAGAAGTCTGTACTAGTCTCTTATTTCTAGGGTCTCTAGCGCCTAGCTCTGAGACCGACGTCCCATAAGGCGGAAATTCTCCGCGGAACTAATACGACCGTTCTACACAGCCGTTCCGCTCTTTTTTGTGCCGTTTCGCTATAATCTTACCGTTGCAATTTTGCGGAAAGGATAAAGATAGTTGCGGATAACCTCAACATATCTTACATATCTCATTTGCTTCTTATACATTTATTATATATATATTTTTTCGACATTCTTTATTATTTCGTTTAGAAATGATGAGTAGAAGAATCGTAAATAATACGATGTTAATATTTTGATAATTATAGTAAACAATTATGTATAATATGTGAATATGTTTATATGTTTAATTAATAGCCACAGTCGACAAAAATCACATAATATATTCTTCATAATTAATCACAACAGATCTCACTTTATTATATTACATAATGTATCACCGCAATTCCTCTGATGTACTTCTCCTTCTGTCCCATGAAGCGGTAAACGCGGCAGTGGAATTATGTTTTAGCCAATCGTAAAATAGTTGCATATTTTCGTAAAAAGTATTTTACTGAGAAATTAATTTTATTCTTTACTAATTTATCATATATTTTATCATTTGTATAAAATATTATTAAAATTATTAAAAACATAAGAAATAACATTAAAAAGTCTACTTTTTGTATTATTCCGTGTGATCCGCTTCCGCGTATTCCGTTCCATGGGACACAAGAAAATATAAAAAGCACCAGAAAAAAAGCGGAACGGCTGTGATTGGTCGTGCTAACTCCGCAAGTTCCATTCCGCTGAAAATTTCCGCTCCGTGAGACGGCGCCCTGACTGTGTGTGAATGGCTGCGTTCAGCAGAGAAAGCTGCTTTACAACTGTTGTAAAATTTGTGAATCTGATTGGTACATGCTCTTGGACTCAATCAAAATTAAGAGCACACTCTAATCAGATTCACGAATTTTACAACAGTTGCAAAGCAGCTTTCTCTTCTGAACGCAATCAATGAGATATGCATGCGAAAATTTATAGTATACGTGAACTATAGAATTTTCGCATCTCATTTGCTTGACGTTGAGAATCGCCACCCAAGCTCATTCTTCTCTCTGGCTCTAGTTACTTCATTTTTTCTCTTGCGTTCTTATTATATATTAATGCGTCGATTTTTCACAAATATGTTTTTAATAAAAAGTGTAGAAAACAAAAGTGAGGTTCGAGGGAAGAAATGTAACATTATTCGAAAAATGATGTGACGCAATTATTGCCATCTCGAACGACGAGTCGTGTTCACTCTCGATTGCTCGCAGCCGACTTCCGTTCGAGTGCAACGATTTCAGCTAGGCCTATGGTTTGTTCTTTTCAGCTGCACTGCTGAACTGGTGCAATAAGTTAAAGTGAGACAAGTATATTTTTTCTCACTCTAACTTATTGCATCAGTTCAGCAGTGCAGCTGAAAAGAACAGACCACTAGGCTGGCCTAACCGTGTTCGAGTGTCGCGACACGGTCGACGATATTATTGTTGTTTCGCCTCCGTCATTCTTATTTCCTGCGACTCGAGCGCGAATTCTCGGAGCAGCAGCCGACGCGAACACGGAGCTGGACTCTGCTGAGAGGAGGGAGGTGCATTGTCGTTCTTTCACAACGAGCGTCGTCGCAGTAGCCGTGGCTCTCGTGCCGGACCAAAGTGCCTCTTGTCCGAGCGAGATTCTCGGCATCGAGGAATCCTGTTGGTGAGACGAAGCGCGTCCATTCATCTCCCTTTGCCTCCTGTTTGAGGAGCGCGACGTTGTGCGGGTAAGCCTCTTCCTCAGGAACTTTTCTTATCATTCCGGTCCTCGATAAGCGAGCTTCCGTTAGTATCTTCTCCAAGGCGTGTAACATTGCGTGCACGTTGTGATTCGTGTATGTATGTATCTTTGATTCATCTGTATAAAGTAATGTGTATATTAATAATATATATCTCTGATACTAAGAATTAAAAGTCTAGTGATTGTTAATGATTGTTAATATCATTGATTCAATAGGCCTGTTATTCTTAGCTGAACAAATGTTTCATTAGTTTGCTCCTTTTCCCTTCATGTTAGGTTATACACATAGACACAGAATAAACTGTGTATTGTTGCAGAAGGGATAGCATCAGTAAGAGAGGATAAAGAATAAGATGATTTTCTTGTCTAATTGTCTGGTTGATGAAAAGAACAAAGAAGGAGAAACAATCATATGATTAATGCATCCTCTCTTTCACTATGTTTCATTCTCTTTTATCTCTACATATATCTAGTATATCGTTCCTCTCCTAGAATACTGTGTGATAGGGAAAGCATTTGAGTTAGCACATCGCTGTCCTTCAATCTTGTTCAATTAGCCATGCCATAATATTGTATAGTCTATATTGTAAATCTATAGTTATACACTTGTTTTACTCTAAAGTCAAACGTTCAGCTAAAAAGAACATACCTATTGTATGGATTTATTTATTATTAAAAAAATTTAGAATGAAAAGTATCTCTGATGATATACAATCAAGAAAATGTTTAAGGACTCTACATAGATGTAATAAAGGTTTATACACAGGAGTAATAGTGTAATCAGGCAAAAAACTTGATGGTCTCATATAGTCGATAAGTAAAAAAATTGATCAGTTGGATATCTTTGCTAATAAATTTTTTACTTATTGATTGTGAGTCATAATTTGAAGTTTTTGTCTGATTATAATATTATATCACTAATATAGGCTCTTATTAGTCTTTGAACATTCTCTTGATTACTTATTGTTGTTATTGGTTATGTTATAGCAAATTGTTAACTAACACAAATCTAACTTACCATGATTGCAGAGACCACAACCGTAGGCTTGCTACGGTACTTTGGATATGAAACGTAGGAATAACGAAAGGAAAGAAGAGGTATACTCGAACAGTGGGTGTCGGCGGAAGAAATGCAAAGGGGAATGATAGAATCATGATGAGTCGCGTTGTCACGCATGAAAAGTTATCGTAGTGTTCATATCACATTGCCACTGAGAAAATTGAATGTATTTGGTGTACTGACGCCTTTGAAGTAACATTGTCATTGTCATCGTCGTCGTCAATATCGCACAGCGTCTTACATATTTTATCTACAGCGATAGAAGTAATTTTTAAAGCGATTCTCCATTGTATAAGGATATATGCAGATAGTTTTTTTAACGGAGAGAGTAAAGCATTATTTTTAATAATTGCGTCAGAATCGAACGTGCCCAATAAGAAAATAGACACTACATCGTCGATTGAGCGATGATCAGCTTTCCTAAATAATGCTCAAATAGTTGCAAATAATCGTGCATTAAATAAGAGCCGCTTCTAATACGACTGGAGAGTAGAAGCGAGAAAAATAAGAATGCTTTGAGGCCCTAAAGAGAATGCGTAAGAATCAACAGAGATTATGTCCCGTGATCACAGTGTCGCGCGAATCCACTCACGTTTATTGCGTGCCATGTATGACTGACAAACCAGTAAATTTGCACAAGTTTTTCCATGGAGACGATCTGCTGATCATTTCCTCGATGAGCATCGACTAACGCGCTACTTCCGAGGCGACTTGAAACAGCATATTGGTGCTGTCTCGTGCGACTGGAAAACCGAGCAGGAAGAGTTTGTGCCAGGTACAGAAATTTACAATATTGCTCGGCAGCTATTTGCGAGACATTAATTATATTTTGCCAGAATAAGTTTGTCTCAACAAATTGCAATTCTTGCATACACAAAAAAAAACTCTCATCCTGGACTCTCTCTTATCAATCTTTGAATTCATCACATAATTAATAACTATAAAAAATTTATATGAAATAAGTATTTTTAAAAAATCATATTTTTATTTTTAAAATAACTTTAAATATGGCTTATAAGCCTTCTGATTGGTTTTCATTTAGAGACACTTTGGACGATAAAAGAGATAAGAGCCGAAATGCATATATTAGTCATATCACTACAGATTAATACAATGTGTACGCTGTGTATCGCCATCAAAGATTAGGTCGATGTTTATATATACAGAAAGATATCGCTTATATTATGAAGTTACTTAAACATTGTTGAAACATTAGGTAGCTTCAAGATAAGGTTTTTTTTTTATTTATCTGGATTTTCGCAAATGGTAATCGGTTATTAATAATTTTATCGTTAAATATTTTTATGTTTTTCTAATACTTATGTTTGAACGATTTTCTGT